CATAACACAAATAAGCTGTGAGACATGTACTATGACTGTACTGGCATGCCGGTAGAATGCACATGCCAGTAACGGGGCGCGACATCAGCACGTGCTGTGGCTGAAACAAGGGGGTCAAAAGGGCTGGATTATTAATTGTCCATTTTATCATACATTCTAGCAGTACCTGCAATAATGTTGACATCGATAAAATTTAAACTTTAAAAAGCCAAAATGTCTCCGAAGCCGACAGGACTCGAACCTGCAACCCTCAGATCCGAAGTCTGATGCGCTATCCATTGCGCCACGGCTCCTTACTGGTTCATGACACTAGGCAACTTCGTTTCATATACATACACCCAAAGCACGCACGGGCTAATCCGTTGGCAGCCTCTGACTAGATGCAGTGCAGCAATGTGTGGCGAGGTCGGTGCCTGGGATGTGGAGTACATGCAAGCATGAAGCCTAGGGTCTGACTAACGACAGGGTAGGTGGGGTATGGTGTTTGCTTGGTAAAGATAATGCATGTGTGCAGTAGTGAGCTGTTGCATGCAGCCACTCGTGCATTACTTGCACGTCAAGATGCCTTTGCAGGTAGGCAGCAGCAGGATACGGCCGCACCCATCCGCTGCATGTAGTGCCCCTGCTGTGACCCTGCTGGCCTGCTGCTGCTGCTGTCGTTGTGTGCCGTTGTCACTGCCCTTGCCCCTGTCGCTTGTTCCCAACTACCTGTACCTGTTCAGCTGTGCAGGTACCGTAGCCCCAGGTAGCAACTGGACCAGGCACCCGCCTGCTCCCCTTGCCAGCACCAGCACGCACCTGTTGATGTGTATGCATGATGATGAGGGTGTTTTAAGGGCACAGCAGCCCTTCCTTTATATTACTCCTTGTGTATATAAGGCGAACTGTTGGGATGCATTGCTATACTATAGGGTAACCTGGTCAACGGACACATGCAAGTTAGGGATAACAAGCTAATGTTCCGCTATTGAAGTCCCAATCAATGGCTATGTTTGGCACCTTGGTGTTAGGTCAGTGCCGCGCCCACACACTGGCCTAATCATCTAGTGTCACCGGGGTTCACACTTGGTCTTCACGCTCGCTTCCTGCCTGTTACAGGAAGGGGGTGCACCTAAACCTTGCAGGATCAAGGTAGCACTGCCCAGCCCTCCTTGCACCATTGGCTGGGGTCCGATCGCAAGGCGACTGGGCCACAGGCTGACCAGGCCTGTGAGGGACAGTGATCTAGACTAGAACGAACTATTATGGCTAACCTTGATTGCTATGGCTATCAGATTACGCTGGTAGTAAGAAATGGCTACACATAATGTCACATGCAAGCCGGTGACCCGCTAGCAGGGCCACGACAGGTGGCGATCAAACACCGTTGTTACATGCTTGTGTTGGTTGCGAGAGATGTGCAGCCCCGAGTCATGGGGCCATGCAGCCTAAGAGGAGCAGCAGCTGTACTGCAGATATGCCAGATGCGCTGTACTCACAACTACCAGAAATCAACAGCACCCAAGGTAAAGGCGCTAGCACAACAGCTTGTAACATACATACGCTGAACTACGCCCATACCACAAATAAGCTGTGAGACATGTACTATGACCGTACTGGCATGCCGGTAGAATGCACATGCCAGTAACGGGGCGCGACATCAGCACGTGCTGTGGCTGAAACAAGGGGGTCAAAAGGGCTGGATTATTAATTGTCCATTTTATCATACATTCTAGCAGTACCTGCAATAATGTTGACATCGATAAAATTTAAACTTTAAAAAGCCAAAATGTCACCGAAGCCGACAGGACTCGAACCTGCAACCCTCAGATCCGAAGTCTGATGCGCTATCCATTGCGCCACGGCTCCTTACTGGTTCATGACACTAGGCAACTTCGTTTCATATACATACACCCAAAGCACGCACGGGCTAATCCGTTGGCAGCCTCTGACTAGATGCAGTGCAGCAATGTGTGGCGAGGTCGGTGCCTGGGATGTGGAGTACATGCAAGCATGAAGCCTAGGGTCTGACTAACGACAGGGTAGGTGGGGTATGGTGTTTGCTTGGTAAAGATAATGCATGTGTGCAGTAGTGAGCTGTTGCATGCAGCCACTCGTGCATTACTTTGCAGGTAGGCAGCAGCAGGATACGGCCGCACCCATCCGCTGCATGTAGTGCCCCTGCTGTGACCCTGCTGGCCTGCTGCTGCTGCTGCTGTCGTTGTGTGCTGTTGTCACTGCCCTTGCCCCTGTCGCTTGTTCCCAACTACCTGTACCTGTTCAGCTGTGCAGGTACCGTAGCAACTGGACCAGGCACCCGCCTGCTCCCCTTGCCAGCACCAGCACGCACCTGTTGATGTGTATGCATGATGATGAGGGTGTTTTAAGGGCACAGCAGCCCTTCCTTTATATTACTCCTTGTGTATATATGGCGAACTGTTGGGATGCATTGCTATACTATAGGGTAACCTGGTCAACGGACACATGCAAGTTAGGGATAACAAGCTAATGTTCCGCTATTGAAGTCCCAATCAATGGCTATGTTTGGCACCTTGGTGTTAGGTCAGTGCCGCGCTCACACACTGGCCTAATCATCTAGTGTCACCTGGGTTCACACTTGGTCTTCACGCTCGCTTCCTGCCTGTTACAGGAAGGGGGTGCACCTAAACCTTGCAGGATCTAGGTAGCACTGCCCAGCCCTCCTTGCACCATTGGCTGGGGTCCGATCGCAAGGCGACTGGGCCACAGGCTGACCAGGCCTGTGAGGGACAGTGATCTAGACTAGAACGAACTATTATGGCTAACCTTGATTGCTATGGCTATCAGATTACGCTGGTAGTAAGAAATGGCTACACATAATGTCACATGCAAGCCGGTGACCCGCTAGCAGGGCCACGACAGGTGGCGATCAAACACCGTTGTTACATGCTTGTGTTGGTTGCGAGAGATGTGCAGCCCCGAGTCATGGGGCCATGCAGCCTAAGAGGAGCAGCAGCTGTACTGCAGATATGCCAGATGCGCTGTACTCACAACTACCAGAAATCAACAGCACCCAAGGTAAAGGCGCTAGCACAACAGCTTGTAACATACATACGCTGAACTACGCCCATACCACAAATAAGCTGTGAGACATGTACTATGACCGTACTGGCATGCCGGTAGAATGCACATGCCAGTAACGGGGCGCGACATCAGCACGTGCTGTGGCTGAAACAAGGGGGTCAAAAGGGCTGGATTATTAATTGTCCATTTTATCATACATTCTAGCAGTACCTGCAATAATGTTGACATCGATAAAATTTAAACTTTAAAAAGCCAAAATGTCACCGAAGCCGACAGGACTCGAACCTGCAACCCTCAGATCCGAAGTCTGATGCGCTATCCATTGCGCCACGGCTTCTTACTGGTTCATGACACTAGGCAACTTCGTTTCATATACATACACCCAAAGCACGCACGGGCTAATCCGTTGGCAGCCTCTGACTAGATGCAGTGCAGCAATGTGTGGCGAGGTCGGTGCCTGGGATGTGGAGTACATGCAAGCATGAAGCCTAGGGTCTGACTAACGACAGGGTAGGTGGGGTATGGTGTTTGCTTGGTAAAGATAATGCATGTGTGCAGTAGTGAGCTGTTGCATGCAGCCACTCGTGCATTACTTGCACGTCAAGATGCCTTTGCAGGTAGGCAGCAGCAGGATACGGCCGCACCCATCCGCTGCATGTAGTGCCCCTGCTGTGACCCTGCTGGCCTGCTGCTGCTGCTGCTGTCGTTGTGTGCTGTTGTCACTGCCCTTGCCCCTGTCGCTTGTTCCCAACTACCTGTACCTGTTCAGCTGTGCAGGTACCGTAGCAACTGGACCAGGCACCCGCCTGCTCCCCTTGCCAGCACCAGCACGCACCTGTTGATGTGTATGCATGATGATGAGGGTGTTTTAAGGGCACAGCAGCCCTTCCTTTATATTACTCCTTGTGTATATAAGGCGAACTGTTGGGATGCATTGCTATACTATAGGGTAACCTGGTCAACGGACACATGCAAGTTAGGGATAACAAGCTAATGTTCCGCTATTGAAGTCCCAATCAATGGCTATGTTTGGCACCTTGGTGTTAGGTCAGTGCCGCGCTCACACACTGGCCTAATCATCTAGTGTCACCTGGGTTCACACTTGGTCTTCACGCTCGCTTCCTGCCTGTTACAGGAAGGGGGTGCACCTAAACCTTGCAGGATCTAGGTAGCACTGCCCAGCCCTCCTTGCACCATTGGCTGGGGTCCGATCGCAAGGCGACTGGGCCACAGGCTGACCAGGCCTGTGAGGGACAGTGATCTAGACTAGAACGAACTATTATGGCTAACCTTGATTGCTATGGCTATCAGATTACGCTGGTAGTAAGAAATGGCTACACATAATGTCACATGCAAGCCGGTGACCCGCTAGCAGGGCCACGACAGGTGGCGATCAAACACCGTTGTTACATGCTTGTGTTGGTTGCGAGAGATGTGCAGCCCCGAGTCATGGGGCCATGCAGCCTAAGAGGAGCAGCAGCTGTACTGCAGATATGCCAGATGCGCTGTACTCACAACTACCAGAAATCAACAGCACCCAAGGTAAAGGCGCTAGCACAACAGCTTGTAACATACATACGCTGAACTACGCCCATACCACAAATAAGCTGTGAGACATGTACTATGACCGTACTGGCATGCCGGTAGAATGCACATGCCAGTAACGGGGCGCGACATCAGCACGTGCTGTGGCTGAAACAAGGGGGTCAAAAGGGCTGGATTATTAATTGTCCATTTTATCATACATTCTAGCAGTACCTGCAGGGGGGGGGTAAGAACCGCAAAAATAGACCCCAACCCTCAAATCGAAGGAGTTTTGCGTGGGGATTCCGAATATGCTTTCAGAATTTCATTTGGAGTTTTAGAAAATTTTTTTTAGGCTTGCAAAGTTTGTTGTACGGCAGGGGTGGGTGGGTGGGGTTGGAGCCTCAACGACTTTTTTACACAAAACTTGTGGACTTTTTTCCCAGGCCTCAGATAAGAGTTCTAAAAGCTTTAATACATTCCTTTCCTTGTTTCTTATACCTAGAACTAGTTTTGTTAACAAATAGGACACTTTTCGGCTTAATGGCTCCGCTGATGACACTTCACGTCTAAACCGTTGTAGCTGAATGGAGGCACCCAAATCCCAAACAAATAAGAAACAACGTGTAGAGAAAGAAATAGATGCGGAGGTCGCGAACGCGGCTAGTCGGCCGCCGGTGGAAGGCGAACAGCAGCGGGTCCTGTGCTCCAAGGGATGTGGGACATGGCTGCTTGCTGGCTTGAGCAAGTATCACTTGAACGAGCACTACCGCAGCGAGCGCTGTCAGACAAGTAGGCCCGTGCCCCGACGAAACACGCTGCATAACTTCTATGAGCGGCAGCAGCAGCAGCCAGCCGAGGCGGCAAAACCGGCGACCGTGCATCCACCACAACCAGCTCTGCCGCCTGATGGACCGGAAGAGGAGCCGCAGCATGTGCTGGAACCAGCGCAGCAGCTCCGAGGTGGGTGTCTCGTGCTACAGCGTGGGCTTAGGGTTCCGTTGCAAGCAAGGTGTCTCACCCAGTTTGGGCAATCCTTCGTAGGGCTGCTTGCCGTCGACGATGGCGTCCATAACCTGGTGTCATCGGATGAAGAGGACGAAGGGCGCCCAGAAGGTATGACCGGGTTATGGGTGTAATGGCCTTTGTGGTTCCGAGTGCGACTGCTGATTGACCTCATGCTTGTGTAGGGCCTTCCAGCATGGCTGCCACTCAGCCGACCCCAGCAGCACGCGCACCTGTTCAAGCTCAGGATTCGGTAACTGTGGAGCGCCTAGCCAGTTCCTTGTTGGCAGGTGGGCCGGAATGCGAGCTGTTGGATTTACCCTCTCTAACATGCACCACAGTCAAAGCCACCTTACATTATACGATACCTTGACACAGGCACATCCGGACGCGAGCAGCCGCTGGTTCCGGGCACCAGGTGCCGTGGCTACACCCCTCGGGTGCCTGCGCCGTTTTCCTGCAATTGGGCATTCCAGCGGCACTCCATTGAGGGCGCTCCCTTCGTCTCCACTACATGTGGCTTGGTCTCATTGCAGTGTACGGGTGTCGCAGCACCTGGGGGCTCCCCTTGCAAGCCCTGCAGTGACTTGGAGCACTGTGGAGCTGTCAAGCGCTGGGTGAAGGCCGCCAACGATCCCTTACTGCACAAGGGCAGCGCCAATTACACGTATCTGACACACTCCCAGGTCGTGGCCCGTGCCCAGCATCACCGTGGCCTGCGTGACGATGTCCGCTTGCAGCACTTTAATGATGAGCGTCATTGCGCAGCCATAACTCGACAGCTTGGCAACCATAAGCGGTTCCTGCTAGCCGTGAGCGAGGGCAACATCCCCAGGCTACATGCCCTTGTGCGTACGGCCCTGCGGCACGGCAACGGGCTCAACGCCATCATGGCGAAAATCGGCGAGAGCTTGGAGGTACGACAGGGATAGGTGCTGGGGCGGCTTGGTGCTGTTTTGTTGCCTTTGGGGTGCCTGCTTGACGGGACTCAGCAGGGTACAGCCAGGATCATCATGTGCTTTTCGTTCTCGCCTGGCTCGCGTAAGGAATACTGTTTCCCAACGCAGGGCACTTACAGTGCGAAAGGCTATCAGAACGAGCCTGATGCTGTCGACATGGCTTGCCTGGTCCTGCACATTGGTGGCCCGCTTCTGCTGTCGGCCATGCACAAGGCCAACCTCCTGCCCAGCGTGTCATGGGTCCTCCACCAGCACAAGGCGCCCAAGATGCGTGGCTTCATCGCTGGGCACGACCTGGAGGAGACCGTCGCCTACAACCTGAAGTCGATGGTGCTATCCATGGGCGGCAAGGCCGCGGGGTGCGCATGGCATCTGATGGCGGACGAGCTGGCAGTGGAGTGCAAGCCCCAGTACGACCCCAAGACCAACACCGTCGTGAACCTTTGCTTGGAGCATGGAGAGGCGGCATGCGGTTGTGTAACCGTTAACAGCATTTATGACCTATATCAGCTGCGGTCTCTGCTGGGTTCTGGGGCTGTTCACCTTGCCCGGGAGGCGCTGGTCTTTATGGTCGCGCCCTACCGCTCAACCAGCTATAGCGCCATCCCCATATCGTACTTTGGGTCGTGCAAGGCGATGTCAGTGGATCTGCAGGTGCGCCTTATCCAAGCGCACCTCTACGTCTGGGAGGCAGCACGGCTTCGTGGAGAGGTTGGGCCCCTATACAACTTCGACAGCGATGGGGCACCGCAGCGCAGGCAGGCGATGGAGAAGATCTTCGCAGACCAGTTTCCGCATGGTGACATGCTGTGGCCTCTGCTTCAGCGCATGCCACTGCTCGATAGACGCTGCAAGAGCGGCACGCTCGTGACGGACGCGTTCGACCTCAAGCACCTGCTAAAGCGCCTACGCACTGCCATCATCAGCACGTCCCGGGAGGGGGTCTGGCTGCTTGGCGAGCATGTTAAGCGGGAGGACGTGCAGCGGGTCCTGCTTGCCCTAAAGGTGCCGCGGGTGGGTGAGCTCCTAAACCCAGAGGACAAGCAGAACGTGGGAGCTGCAGTCCAGCTGCTGCAGGCCATCGCATCACTCCAGCAGCATACCAGTGTCGCCAGCCTACCCGCTGGCATGCAGCCTATCCTAGTGCGCCTTCGCTTGCTCGGGCGCATGCTACAGGGCTTAATTGCCCCTATCGTGGAGCTGGGTGCAACTCTCAGTGAGCTGCTGGTGGGGCTCAGCCGATCAGCTCACATCGCCTACGTGCTCTTCCGCAAGGCGCCCAGCACCAACGCTTTCCTGCCCAGCGTCCTGTATCACGACATACAGGCGTTCGTCCAGACCGCCTTCTTCAACGTGCTGAAGCTGCAGCGCGACTTCCCCGATGGCGACCAGGAGTACCAC